GCTGGAGCGCCGCGCTCTGCAGGCGTTAAAACACGGAAGGTAAACACACTCACCTTTATAATCGCTTTTTATTCATCATTGATTGATTCATGTGAAAGAGTTGAACATACTCTTCTATTGATTACAGCTTTTATTTATTGGACATCATGTGATATTAATAATGATTTTTCTGTCTCGGTGAAAGGACCCGTACAGCATGCTGAAGCCAAAGGAGTACGCAGGAACCCAAGATGAGCCGCATATCGTCCCGTCCATCGGAAACAAGCGGCTGGTCGGTTGTCTGTGTGAGTGGGGAGCAGAGCAGACGTCAGGATGAACGGCGGTCGACCGTTCAATGAAATAATCTTGTGATTTTGTGTGCAGGTGAGGAGGACAACACGGCCATCGTCTGGTTCTGGGTGCATGAAGGACACGCTCAGCGATGTCCATCCTGTGGCTCTCATTATCAACTCGTCCACCACGAGCTTCCTCACTGAAAACAAAGTCTACTGCCCCCTGATGGTCACTCAGGGTACTGTCTGTATTTAACCCATACAGTTTATCATTAAAACATTTCTCTCAGCTTCCCCCTCTGTCCTTTTTCATGTTTGATCAAAACAAACACCAGACCACGTTTCACATTTAGTGTCAGTGGCTGCACTCGGACTTCTTTAAGGCTTACAGCCGCCACGCCTCACAGGTCATCATTTTTCTGTGGCGGGCGGATAGGCTTGTGTATGTAGCCTGTTATGCGCGCAGATAAGTGAATGCTTATGTGTAACTGTAGGCTGTTATCTGATAGCAATGCAGATTCATTGATTAACGTACAAAACCATCCACTTCGACATGTACATAACAGCCTACATCCACGGAGACTTTTCGCTCTTTAGTATCAGCCAATGGCGACACTGGATTTGACCCGGCTCTTCACCATCCAATCAGGGCCCGATGTGCTCCGGGGTTGCTAGAGTGTACCCTCACCAGATAAGTTTATCTTGCTACCTGTAGTTAGCTCGCTCCTGCTATCAATTTATTACACTTCAGTAAATTTAAAACAACAGCTGGCTGTATTTGAAATTAAGATCAACGTTATAGTTAATCAGTGTTTACTTACTTTTAAAGTTGGTTCCAGGTGAAAAGCTCAAAGCTGAGTCCTCGCTGCGCCATCTGCTGGTGGAAGTTAGCTACTGTACGTCATTGTTTACAACGTTGAGGCTTGATTTTCCTCCGGGATATCTCCCCCCCCCCCAAACTCCACGTAAATCTTAATTTCAAATACAGCCAGCTGTTGTTTTAAATTTACTTCAGTGCAATAAACAGATAGCATGAGCGACATCAACGTGTCATTATGACTATCTGAAGCTGAGCTCATGAGGTCATCATGCAGAGAAACAAACACAGCAGTCGTTACGGTAACCAGGAATGATTGTAATCTAAAATACTGAGATATCAGAACGTTTGAAATCAACATCAGAGACAGTTTGACTCCTCGCCATCAGTCCAACACATCATCTTCAGCTAGTCGTGTCCAAATATGACGTCATGAGTCTGGCGTCTCCTCGTGTAGCGTTTCCTTGTGTGGCGTCTCCTCGTCTGAAGCTCAGGCCAGATTGAAGCCCTGGTTGTGATCTATGGCGTGTAAAAGTTTCTCTCTCAGAGTTTGAGCGCTCGTGTACTTTGGCAGGTCAAGCAGGTTGAAGCAGGTGTGAGCGACAGGTAAGTACTGCTGCCCTCCACCTGTGGGCTGGATCACAAGCTTCAGGCTCTTCATGCCCAGGATGGGAATGCGGTCACTTCCTGTGAGAAACACTGAGACACACACACTCTTCATTTCACTGAATCAACATGTCTGATAAAGAGACACTGGTGACATCACTTACACAGAAACTGTTTCTTCTTCTCTAAAGGAAGGTCATGGAAGACGTCCCAGAAGAGTCTGATGGTGGGATGGTCGGCCCAGTACTCGCCTTTGTACTCCGTGCTCTGAGGAGGGACACACGGGGACACACACACCATTTGAATTCAGGAGAGAGAAACAGACAGGTCACAGTTTACCATGAGAGAGGTGTAGAGAGGAGACCTTTTGGAGCTCCGTCCAGTCGTAGTTGGTGTTTCCGATCACCATGGCCTGCAGTTCATTTGGATGGAAAAGTTCAAGAACTTTCCCGCCGCAGACTTTATGGAAACCGGCGTAGAAACATTCAAACAGCGGGCAACCGAAGTGTTGAACATGTAGTCGATGTACGCATCAACAAAGTCTTGCCTGCAGGAGGGAAACCGGAGAGTATAAACACAAAATAATATATTTAATAATCATATATGTAATAATATATTTAATAATATATTTAATGACAGACAGCAGCTGCCGGGCTCTGAACACAAAGTCAGACTCAATGAGATTAAAGATATTAAATGTTTTCATTCACAGGTTGAGCCAAGCTGTTCTACACTTTATGCTAAGCTAAGCTAACCTGTCAAAGCTACACAAAGTTGTTCTGCTGATTGGACAGAAAGAAAAAGTTCAGATGTGACCTGTTGGATTTATTCACGTTGATGTTTTCACCGTTTGGAACGAGTTCCAACACCTCGGTGGCTCCGTAGTTATCTTCTGTGATCTGCAGAAACACCGTTCATGTTTGAGTATCGAGACTCTCAGTTCATTCATCATGATGACTTTTAGTATTTAGGTTGACTTCATGCTGCTGAACCATTCTTACGGTGAAGTTCAGGCAGAAGGTCTCCTCCAGGTCGTCCTCTGGGTAGTCCAACAGCTGCTGCAGACTCCTGGTTCAAAAGAAGACAGTTTAAAATCTCCTCTTTTTATTAACCCCTTGTGTGTTCATTCATCTGTATCGTCTTCATCTCTGAATAAAACACTCCTCCTCTGACCTTCCCACGGCGGGCTGCAACTCTTTCAGGTCATCCAGTGTGGGCTTCTTCTTCAGCAGCTTCTTGTAAAGGGCCACCGGAAAGTTCAGCTCCACGATAGTGAAATTATAGATGGCCAGACCGCAGATGACCCCAATCAGATGAAAGAGGTCGATGTCCTCAAACGTCTGCAGGAGAAGATCGAGAGACACAAATACTGAACAAGCAACCGTGTTAAAAAGATCCCAGCTGCTTTGTGTGACTGTTCACATTAAAGACGCATCAAAACCAAAATATCACTATCAGAATTTATACCATTCAAACCAACTGCACAGGATCCAGGAAAGTGAGCCCAGTCTGGATCCAGTTTGAGTTCAGAGTGAGTCAGCTTCAAAGATTAAATATAATTAATTTCAAAGAAAGATGATTTTGTCAGTACCTTGTTTGAAAACCAGATGAGCCTTGAGTCGTCATGGTAACGAAACATTCCATATTTAGGATCCAGCAGCTCCTTCATGATCAGCAGAAAAAACTCTTTCCTCACCCCACCTGCATCGACCGCCTCCTCCCCACAAATATCACCTGCCATCATCAGATTAAATGATCAGGTAAAAATCAGGTATAAATCAGGTAAAGATCAGGTGATGATCAGGTATAAATCAGGTATAAATCAGGTAAAGATCAGATGATGATCATGTATAAATCAGGTAAAGATCAGGTGATGATCATGTATAAATCAGGTAAAGATCAGATGATGATCATGTATAAATCAGGTAAAGATCAGGTGATGGTCATGTATAAATCAGGTAAAGATCAGGTGATGGTCAGGTATAAATCAGGTATAAATCAGGTAAAGATCAGGTGATGGTCATGTATAAATTAAGTAAAGATCAGGTGATGGTCATGTATAAATCAGGTATAAATCAGGTAAAGATCAGGTGATGGTCATGTATAAATCAGGTAAAATCAGGTGATGGTCATGTATAAATCAGGTAAAGATCAGGTGATGATCATGTATAAATCAGGTAAAGATCAGATGATGATCAGGTATAAATCAGGTATAAATCAGGTAAAGATCAGATGATGATCATGTATAAATCAGGTGATGATCATGTATAAATTAAGTAAAGATCAGGTGATGGTCATGTATAAATCAGGTAAAGATCAGGTGATGGTCAGTATAAATCAGGTATAAATCAAGTAAAGATCAGGTGATGTCATGTATAAATCAGGTATAAATCAGGTAAAGATCAGGTGATGGTCAGTATAAGAGAATCTCTTTGAGAGGGTCACTTAATCCTTTTAGAATCTCTCAACATTCCCATCATAGATCGACTGTATATTAAAGAGGGTTGTACCTTCAGTGGTTTTTTGTAGTCCACGTTCTTGGACTTCCTGAGGACCTCCATGGTGTCTCCCACAATGTCCTTCCGCCGGACGATCAGGATGAGACACGGATTCACCGACTCGACGGCTGGCATGAACATGGAGCTGAAGTTCTGCATCTGAGCCTGATCCACCGCCATCTTTAAATACAATGTTATTTAATATAATGATAAGAAATGCTGGAATGATTGGATGATTCAAGAGTCTGAATCACCTGCATTTGGATGACTGCATCCGTCTGCAGCAGCGTCGTCTTGGCTGAGCATCAAACACAAACGGAAACCTGCACAGAGTCACCCCGCGTCTGATCCTGAGACAGAAGTAAACGATCCAGAGAGATTGATCAATCATTTACTTACACCGAATAAACACAAAGAGAGAAGTTGAAGAGCAACGCACCAGGGATACATTTGTCTCTGATCCACCTGACGTAGTCGTTTCTGATGTCCATCAGTCTCGTCCACTCGTGGATGTAAAATTTATCGTACTGGATGATGTGCGCCTCTCGCCTCGTTCACCTGCAGCCACAGGAACTGATGTTTACATAACGCTTCATGTGACATCTTTCTTTTTGATGT